TTGACTTAAATTTTTAAAATCGGTTGAGGCGTTTTTGAGCAAACATCGATGAAAGTTATAATTTTGACAAACGCCAAAAAAACGACACTAATTTTTGCAAACTTTGACGAATTTTTAAAATTAAACGACTTGCCGTAGGACCGTGATATTTTAGTATGATTTATAAGACTATGATATCTACCGACAAAAAAAAAATTCATGAATATCGTCGAAAAACATTTTTTTAACACTTTATTACAAGAAAACGGCCCGGCCGATCTTTACCACAAACTAATCAGGTCGATTCCCAACCAATGTGTTTCGAACAGTTTTTGAATTTTCAAAATTGATTCAGAATTGCGGGCTAAAACGTGGACGAAAAATTTTTCACTTTTCTGCAATTTACAAAGAAACGGCTCGGTCGATCGTCGCACAAAACTGAGAAACGCTAGTCCTCGGAAACAAATCTGTTCACACATACACACACACATATATACTTTTTCCAAATTTGGTCTTATTCGATTCAGAATGGCTTGAAACGTCGAGAAAACATAAAATTATCAAATCGGATTTTTTGATGAAAACATAAACTTCTCCGCGAAGTTAAAAAAAAAAAATTATATTATTTCTTATTAGGATAAATCAATGACATCAAGTATGTATCAAGTAGTTATGTACCAACCAAAAAAATGATTCTCATTCATCAGTCAGTCTAATTGGTATGAAAGTTTATCATAAATGAAAATATGTAAAGTACCTGTGAAAATTTTCTAGCCTTCCTCTTAATACTTCTTGTGTTAAAGATTTGACTAGTGTGTTGGGCAGTGATAGCTAATTCTCCATGTATTGGGTCTGGATCAAGGCATAATGGTGGGGCTGAAGCTTTAATTATTTCAGCTTCTAATGCAAGTTTTTCCTTTGATGACCATTCACCATTCGATGTCAGAGAGGCTACGTCCACTATAATGCTCTAATATATGCAACAAAAAATTGTGATTAAATAAAAAATATTTCATATTTTTTATATATTTGAAGATAAATTTAAAGATGTATCTAAAGGGCTTCTTAAACTGTGGGTCACATTATTACTAGAAAAGGGTCACAAAGATCTGATACTTTTCAATCATTATAAATAAAATTTTAAAATTAGTATACACACTACATACAAATATAAATACAGAAGTTTACATGCATAGGTATTTTCCTAATGATATCGATACAAAACAATGGATTCGCAATACACTCATTTCAATTGAAATGGAAGAAATTAATTTTTAAACTTAAAAGCACAAGAAGAATTTGCCGAATTAACAAGCGATACTACTTTGTAAATCAAATTTTCTAAAGTGCCTGTGCATGAATTTTGGGTAGAAATCAAATCAGAATAGCCTCTACTATCGGAAATGGCAATGAACAAATTATTGCCATTTTGTTCAACATATTTATGTGAATCAGCCTTTTTTACATTAACATACATAAAAACAAAATATCAAATAAACGTTGAAAATTTATTACGATCTGCACTAACTCAAATTGAGTCTAGATTTAACTATTTGTGTAAAAATAAACATTTACATCCGACACATTAATATTGTTCGATGTTAATAATATGTTTTTAATAAAAAAAATGTTATAAAAGTTTTTTTTTTTAATATATATTTCATTGTATGAAAGAGCGAGTTGTTTAAAATTTCCTACGCTTGAAGGGGGTCGCTATATAAAAAAGTTTAAGAAGCCCTGATCTAAACTATGTTTGAAAATATGTTAACGTATTTTAAAATATTATGCAAACAACCAAATAAGTTAACATGAATTATAAAAAATGTTTCATTTTGAGAAAATCACTTTTTATGAAGTTACAAACATTGAAATAAAAGTGAAACTTTCAAAAGAACTTCATATCTATTTGGGTCCCAATGTTTTCATTAAAAAATATATGAACAACTTTTAATGTGCCAGATATTCCCCTCCAATTTAATTTTGTACATTCACCTCCATTTAAATACAAACATTTTTCATTCTTTATTCAATGACATTTCAAAACAAGTTTAACAGAAAATTATGACTTCAGATACATTTAAGCATATTAACTTCAGTAAAAATAAATAAAAGGCATTTATAAATATATTGAACAAATAGCTAATCTATTATCAAATATTAATTGAATATACCTGTATTGAAGGCCTCAAAAGAGTATAGTTAATATCACATACTAAATTTCCATAAGACTGTCGATAATCCCAAATCTCAGTTATAATAAAATTTGAGTAAAATAAATTTGGATAGTTTGTTTCAATGACATCAATAATGCAAGTTGGCAAATGTCCATCATCAATGTATTGTAGTAGATCATCATCCTCATAAGCCCAGCACTTGGTTTCAAATAATAATTCACTCTCTTGGTTAACATTGGCCTGTTAATTATTTGCATTTGTGAAACATTAATTATTATACATTTGATACATTAAATGAATAAATGATTATTAAAATGTTTTACCATATAACTATCAGTAGTATCTAAATTTTTCTTGAGGATTTTGAATAAAAAACAATATCCTTTATTTCCTGGATTTAGCTTTAAAATCATTGTATTTAATCTGTGTTTTCGCACAAGAGTCTCAAGGATAAATGATTGTGGATGAAGATCAGGCTGTAATTAATCAATTACTTAATGTTCAATTATTTAATACTAGGTTCTTCAATTATCTATTACTTGTTACTATTGTAATGCATCTAAACAGCAAAAAATTACTGTAATATAGTAAAAAATGCAGATTCTAAAAAAATCAAGTAAAGGAGAAACTAACTCTGCTTTTTCATTGTAAATTTAATATCTTTGTAAATTAGAATATGAAATAAAATAATATCATGCTATGTTTTTAATAGTCCATCTAATTATCAACTTTCTATTGTTTATAAATTAAATATAAAAAATATACATATTCAGAAGTTAGCTGTCCGAGCTCTCTATGTAATGCAATCAACTCCTTTAATATGTCAAAATGTTGTTGGCCAGAATTCTCTATTATATTTTGATCTGCAGAACATGAGGGTATATCACCGATATTTTTGTTGTGAGAATTTAATCTATTATCTAATATAATTTCACTTTCAGCAGATTCTGTTTTGTTGGTCTGGGCCCATGATTGTCCAATATATAGATCCTAAAATAAGTAATAACAACATAATTATAATTTTAATGTGTTGCGTATATATTGATTTCACAATCACTTACTGCAGCCTCTTGAGATGAACCCGCCAAGCTTTGCATCGTTTCAAATTTATGGTTTTCATTAGATGCTCAAAGAGCCCTCAATCAATTATAAAGTAAGAAATAATTTCTTCTAGTGCTTGAAGAAACATTTTTTTGATTCAATTTTTATATAAATGATAATAAAAATATAAATTCTTAAATAATGTATTTTTGAGGAAACACAAGAATCACTGTCACTCATTGTTGGCATATTTTCATCTAAACAATACAAACATTCTTTTATTTCTTAATTTTTTCGTTTAACAATTGTTATAGTTGTTCTTGTATTGACAGCTCATATTATATTTCAAAAATGTATCATAAAACTGAATCTGACAAGTGGTGTTTAAATCCCGGTTTAGGAACATCATTTAGTTGCCTTATAAATCGCTCAAGACTTATGAAAAACCAATATTTTAAAACTCATTTTATCAACTTTCACATAAATATTTTATTATTGTCACTACTTAACAAATATTATTAATTTCAATGTATCAGTAGACATAAGGATGGCCATCAACTTTTCTGTCTAAACGCAATCATAACCCCTTTTTCACTATGTCACAAACACAGTTTTAAACTACAAACTATAGTTTTTACAAATAATAATATAACGTTTCTATACAAAATCAATTCATAACATATATAAATATATCTAAAAAATATATATTTGACTGAATGTCAAATATTTTATAGAATTACCCAGTTTACAAACAGACTGGGTACACATGACGACCCTCTTACGGTAAATGTATATAATGAGATGGAGGAATGCTATAATAAAAAATATGAATAAATTAAAATAGTTATTAGTGAAAATTACTATTTCTTCTTTTATTTTGAAATAACAATTTCAAAAAAGATTTATATATTATATAAACATAATTATTTAATAATTTATGTATTAAATTCAAATTTGCCGGACTTACTCAAGGACAGGATACCAACATAATATCTAACAAATTTGGCAGAAGCAAGTTCTGCCCTAACGGTGATGTTGCATAGCTTTCAATACCTGTGTTGGCCACGATTCGTTTCAGTCTTCCATTTGACGTTTCTAAACGTTCGATTTGTTTTGATTTAGCATATGCTTTTATAGGTTACGGAATGTTTTCTCAATATATTATATTACTTATGAGCAATTGAGGGTTATAAAGCGGTTTATGCCAAAATTAAAAATACTTGACAGAATTTATTTTACATAGTGTCTCAAAATCGAATTGTTACTATAAAAATTAAAATAAAATTGAATAAAAAGAACATCAAACGTTGCATGCGCGATTTTACATAGCTAACATTTTCATCTTGTAAATCATTGGATCGTAGGTTACACATGAGTATGTTTCTTGAATATCTCGGTAGAACATTAATTCTAAATATGGAATTTTGTAAAAAAGAAATTGCATGCATGCCAAAGCTTCGATAGTAATGTAACTTTTAAAAAGAATTACTATTACTAGATTCACCAAAAAGTATTATACCATGAATGAATGAATTGGCTGTGATTTTATAATATTATTTACTCCAACTTTGTGTTTCATGAGAAACAAAAAACAATAATGAAACTCAATGTAAACTCATGTATTTATAATATTTAATAAATGCATTTTGTTTTTATTTTGGACATTAAATTAATATTAATTAAAATTGGACATCGAATACAATAAGAAAACATCAAATATTGTGTTTTTGTTATCATTACATTATACTAAATAAAATATTACCAACAATTTTTATTTTATGCTTGTAGTAAAGATAAAATATGTGTGATAATCCTTAAGACTAAAATACCAATAAGTTAGACACATTACTAGCCATAATTATGAAATTATAAATTAATTGTGTTATGCAAATCTTAAATTTGTATTTATTTTATTCATATTTAATATTATCAATTTTTATATTTACTTTTTCTTTTTCTTTGATTTTGTTTCTGGTGTCAATGAGTTTTCTGTCTTGCGTTTCTGTGCTGATTTTGTACTAATAGATGGAGTTGAGGTCGAGCCTTTTGGCATCTTTTTCTTTTTCTCCTGACGTTCTCTTTCTTCAAGTTCTTGATTTTCCCTTTCAATTAAAGTTATAAGTGTATTACATCTTCTCTGTAATTCTAGGGCTGTACGTGACTTCAAAAACCAATCAAATCTGAATTGAGGAGCACATCTGAAAATATAACAACTATAAACTACAGAACATTCAAAACTATATGCAAGTTATTTATAAATCATACCAAAATAATTTCAAACCCTATGTTTTCAAAAAAAAAAAAGTAAAACATTATTATCTTTTCTATTTTTAAAATTATGCAATATTTTATCAAAAAATTTACATTTTGTATGTATAGGTGCAAAGTAAAGTACATTTTTTATGTATAGGTGCAAAGTAAAGTACAATTTTCTTTATATTAATTTTGCAACTTTTTTAGCATATCCACTTAATACAAAATTTAGACAAATTGTATAAATAAATATCTGCTTTATTACCTAACAGCTACTCTCAGTTCTTCATAAACATATTCTTTATCAAATCCAAGCTTATGAAGCATACAAACTAAGAATCTATCTTCTTCTTCTGTATAATTCTTGCCCTTATTTGTACCATATGAAATTCTAAGTTGATGAAAAGGAGCTCTATATCTAGACATTTTACTATCCAATGCCTTTTTTATTGAAGACCGTCTCTGAATCTTGGCTTCACCTCGCTCAATTTGCGCCATTATTCTTTCAACATCTTGTAATTCATGGCAACGCTCCCAAAATACTGTGCTATATTCTATTACCTATAAAAATAATACATTGTAAATTATTCAATTAGCATTAGATAATATTACAAAATAATAATATTGTTTTAAAATATTATCTTATACTTCAAAAGTGTTACCTCCTCTGGTGTTTTGCCTTCCACATCCCTAGCTATATTGTCAATATCATCTCGTCCATATTTTTCATTGGCTTTAATAAACTGGTTGAAGTCACGTTTTGTCCAATTTGTAAAACCTATCACATTATATATCACAATAGTTAAGCAATGGGAGCAAATCAAATGTATGTATATTGAAATACATTTGAAATCACAGATGACTAGTTTTATAATTTTATAAAAAATATAATACCTTGAGATAGTAGTGATTCTTTTTCTTGAATTTCTTCTTCTGACAAGGGTTCAGCATCATCAATCTTTCTTTGCTCTTCCTTCTGCACTTTCGATGCCTCGGAACCAAGTTCCGGATTTTTGGGAACCTAATCATTTTTTTTGAAGTGTTAGGACACATATATATAAGAAATTGAATTTTATGACATATGTGGTTCAATGATAAATCAAGTCTTAGGATAACACCAAAATTTTTAGTACTCTTCCATACATACTTCCAATAATGTAATTACCATATTAAGGTAAATAGATTTAATAATATGTGTTTAATGTGTCTTATTTATATTGAAGCTATAACTCTGATTCAGTACTTTATCCTACCTTATATCCCAGTGTTTTCCTGAAGTAATAAATTTCCTGATCAAGTAGTTCAAACAATCTTGGAGGAAAAAATTGAAAATCTTGAACTATAGGTTGCTTGGGAGGTCTGGGCGCCTGAAAATCATTTTTTTTTTATCATTGCTAGTTTTAACAATCAGATTACAATATAATCTATAAGTTAAAAATGAGGGTATTGAAAATCAAAATAAGAAAAAAAAACAATTTAAATATGAAGATTTAAACTAAGACCAATTACTTCTGAATATTTGAAAATCATTTTACCTTAGGAGCCTTAGGCTCAGAAACTCTAAGAGCTTCTCTGAAGTATGCATCGACAGCGTAATTTGCTTTCCTTTCTCTTTTTGGTGGTTCAATCCAAGATGATCCAACTACTGACACCTATGTTAATTTTTATTTAAGTCATAAAAATTGATAAAATAAATGTAATTCATAAAAAGTAATTATAAGGCTAACAAGCAGAAGAGTTCTTTAATTACATTTTACCCAATATTGAAACATTTGAATTAATATGTTTAATATGATTTTGATTATACATTAGTTACAAAGCATAGGTCAAAAACAATATTAAATTGAATGCTAATGCTTTTATGAATATGTAATAAATCAAAATTTACAAATAAAAATTACAAATTATATTTACGTTTAGTATCAAATTAAGAAATATATATTATGCTACTACATACAGTTACATTGCATACCTTATGTTTTTCTCTGTAATCTTCTCCCTCAAACTGGTAAACACTTGGTGCATTGTCCATAGTAAAGTTACGAAGAGAACTTTCACCAAGAGATTCTAATTTGGCCCTTTGTTCTTCAGTCTAAACAACAATGAGAAGTAAATAAAAATTCTAAACTTTAAACAATAATCCATATCCAAATGAAATCCATAATAATAATCCAAATAAAATTTACAGATATTAATTTAATAATATTGAATTGTCGAAATAATATAATTTCATAACTAAAATTTGCATATTATCAATGTACATTCTTGAATTATAAGCAAGTCTTTTTCAATCTTAAATTAGTAAACTTCACTTTCTCATTCATAAAATACCTTATTTTCTCCTCTTGTTAGGATTGTATCTATATCCTCATCAGTAATTTCAGAATCTTTTGAAGCAAACACATGATTTGCACCATGTCTGATCATGTTCAACATTTCATCCTTATTTAATTGAGCAGCTTTATTATCCATCAATCTACCCTGTTGGATGACCATTTTATCTAGACGCAGTTTTATTTCTGCTCTTTCAACTATTTTTTCTTCAACAGTATTTTCTGTGATAAATCGGAACACCCTTACCTGAAAAAATTACATTTCTAAAAAAATTATCCAAAGACTCTGTTTAATAACAGAAAGAGGTAAATATTACAAAATTGTAGCTTAAAATATTTGGAGTTTAAGTATTAGATGAAACCTTTAGTTTTAAATTCATTATCTAAATCTTGTAACAGATACTGTAATTAAAAAAAAAATCTAAATCTTCTGATAAATTAGTAATCCTTTTCCAAAATATTCAAAATGTTCGAAATAAACTTAATAACTGGAGGTAAACCCACACATTGTGCTGAACAGAGTATATGTCAGATTTAAAATTAAACTAATGGTAAATGGCATGTGCCTTAAGGCAAATTGCTTGAACTTCCCGTACCATAATGAAATATTCGATGAAAATTAAATATTTTCAAATACTGTAATTTTTTTTTATTTTTTTTTATTGGCTTTGTAAGCTAAAATAGATTATTTTTTCAAATACTATAACTTATATATGTTTATAGAAAACTAAATAAACAAAACTTAACCAATCAAATTTAAAATGAAAAACATTGTCTAATATTAGGTTGTCAAATATCTCCCTTCCGCTTTTTTGCTCTTGGTTTATAATACAAAAGGGAGGAAGGGAGATATTTGACAACCTAATATTTATAAGAATTATATAAACTGAATGACAAAGTTAAAATTATTTATTTTAAGTATATGAGCGAGCTTTAGAACTTTAGCTAGAAAAAAAATTAAAATTTGATTTATTTTCGATATACAAAAAAAAAAATTGGAAATTAATTTTTTTTTTTTTTCTCAAAAGCAATCGTTTTGACCACACAAGCATAAAGTTTTTTGAATTAATCAAATCGCATGCATATTTCTCTCAAAAACTACAATTTTTCGCACATTCTTTGCCAAAAACTAATCACCACTTCTCCCATTATTAACTAATCATTATGAATTGAATGATTTTTGGATCATTCAAATCCGATGCTCCGTTCTCTCAAAAACTCAATTTCCATTTTCTGCACTTTTTGCACCGTATATCCGAAACGGCTGGACCTGCCTTTGCCAAAAACTAATTAGGACATCTCCCTATCAATAGATATCAAATATTTTTTAAACCACTCAAATCGGTTGATCCGTGCACGAGAAAACGTGGACAAAAAAATGTATTCATACACACACACACACACACATCCATTTTTTCTGAGGTATGCAAAATGTTGAAAAACCTTCAAAACGTGAAGAAATGTAAAAATTTTCAATTTCGATTTTAGGACGATTACAATAATTCACACTACGGGAAGTTAATAAAATTACAAGAGAATACAATTTATTATGCTACTTTTATCAAATTCAATGTGACTATGGAAGTGCATGCATTCTTGTAAATCAAAAATAATATTATAAATCTCTGCAAGTATAAAACTCATTTGATTGTGATATTAAAAACTATCTTTCAAATGTCATCCTTATATAATACATTGCCTCATATGTGCTCACTTATCAACATCAAAATGATTTATTAACTATTTAAAGTGTTGTGCCTTTGGAACCTTTTCTAAAACTAATACTTATATGGATATCTTAATATGCACTTAAATAAGTATGCAAAGTCACCTAAGCTTCAAACTGATTATGCAAAAACATTTTTTGCTCCATATCTTCGAAACGGCTAAACCTGCCCTAGCCAAATACTTCTGCACTATTTGCTCTGTATTTCCAAAACGGCTGGACCTATTTATGCTAAAAACTATTCAGCACGTCTCCCTATCAATAGGAATTGAATGTTTTTCAAATTAGTCACATCAGTTAATCGGTGCGCCCGAAATCATGAACTTTTTCTTTTTCGTTCATGATTTCGGAAAAACTGTATCCTCACAAAACACACACACACACACAGATCCATTTGTTCTAAGGTATTCCAAAATGTTCAGAAACATCTGAAACGTATAAATATGATAAAATTTTCTTTTGCGATTTTTGGACGATTAATATAACTTACCCTACTGGAAGTTAATAATATAATTATATATATACAGTAGAATCCGCTTAGTATGACATCGAAGGGACGCCGAAATCTCGTCATACTAACCGGTCGTCATTAAAAGCGTACTGAAGAAAAACTTTTTAATATGCAAATATGTTACATGTTTCAGTAAATAAAAAGAAAAGCCTATACAAACGTTTTAATTAAAAATAAAAATGACACATTAAAATTTAATATAAAATAAAATTGACATAGGGTAGGGCGGGGGCTCAACGGTCCAATTTGACTTACGGTAATTATACTGTCTAAACCCAATAAACAACACATAACATACATCAAAGAAGCATCTATCAAACTATGTTCAGAAAAACTTACATACATACGTAATACGTACATAATTCCTAATTATATAAATATTATATTTTTTACTATTTTTCAAACATTTGGTATCTGACCCATTTTACTTCACATACGGGGTAAAGTGGAACAACCAGGGGGCGAACAGATGCAATTTCTTCTATTAAATTTTAAAGGCATTCTACGCTACATTATTGAACCAATGCAAAATATTAATTCTGTGGGTACATTTGTTACAAAGACAACACAGTATATTACATTGATCTGCTATTGGTCAGAAATATTCATCAGAAGAACAGGAATAACAATTTATTCAATTAATCTCTTGTAAAATTGTTTTTTTAAAAACTTTACTATTTTATTGCTTACACCTTAGCCAAAGTAAAGGTTCAGCTGGTCCTTTTTATCGCAGTCATGTGCTGCTTATCTTCTGATAGCAAAGTCATAAGAATAAAGGTGATGGCTGGTTATGAATTTATACATTTTTCGCCCTCTACTATCAAATATAATTGTTAAATAAAATCTAATTTTATTTGTTTATGAGATATCCGTGGTGGGCCATTTATAATTAGTCTACCCTACCCATAAACATACAAATTTGTTTTTTAATGTAAGTAATCAGTAATTTTTGACTGATTTCTTTACATAATTTTATTGTAAAAACAGGCTCTGGTGCTATTGTGCACAAAAAACATAGCAATTGCTTTCGTAGACTTGGCCACATCATGTAAAATCATGTCGGTCATTATAATTGGACGTATTTTTTTTTGCAAAAATGAGTCATTATAAGCGACATGTCAATGTAAGCGATGTCAATATATCCGACTAGACAGCTGTTTTTTTAAGGAATTTTATATGGAAACCAAATTCTTAGTGTGATTACGTCATATTAAGCGGTTGTCAATATATCCGGCGTCATACTAATCGGATTCTACTGTATATATATATATATATATATATATATATATACAGAACCATTGGAAACTAAAAATAGAAAACTAAATTTAACCACTTCGGTACGAGCGGCAAGTCTACTTGACGGACGGACGGATTACGTGACGGACATGATACGAATGTGTACGGACGAGCGTCAATTACTCTTGACAAGCGTCACTACACCTGCCTATGTCCAGGGTCTGTCTATGAACAAGGCAGTATATGGACGATGCATGCCGGCTGTGAGCGACGTTGCGTGGACTGTCGGCGCCGTACCAAAGTAGTTAAATTACGATCATTTATATAATATCTTACTTGTTTTTTTTGGCCAATACGATGAGCACGATCCATAGCCTGTAAATCCATTTGTGGATTCCAATCGGAGTCATAAATTATGACAACATCTGCTGTAGCCAGATTAATACCAAGGCCACCAGCTCTAGTACTTAACATAAAAATAAATTTCTCACTATTTGGTGCATTGTACTCCTCAATTTGACGATTACGATCCTCATGCGGCGTTTGACCATCTAACCGACAATACTAAAATAAAAATAGTCATAACTAGAAATTTTGTAACAAATGCTGAAATATATTGTACAATCTACAGAAATGCAGTATTTAACAAAATCACATCAACTTATTATTTATGAAATATGAATATGTAATTTTAATAAGAATTTAGATGAATATGTAATTTTAATTACAATTAGCGTAAGGTTAGAGAAATAATGAAGAAATATAAGGGATAAAAAAGGGAATTAGTGCATGGATATTAGACAACAACAGACAAAGTGTTTTTGAATATCCCTCCTCTAAATTTTAGATATGATTATTAAATTTTGTATAATATAATTATGTAACAATAATTACACAAGCCAACAAAAATTTTTTTTTTGTTTGGTGCATCAAATGTTAGAGCTGATTCGTATAGTATTTTTGCCCTAATTTCAAATCTGCAAACCATTTTGTTGTATCAGCTCTAGTTTTTGAGATACAAAGAAATTGCCGAAACCAGGTCCATTCGAGGTCGTCAAGGAAAAGAACTTTTTACAGTGTCAACTAATGTCCCAACTAAGGCTGAATGGGTCTTGTAAGTTTGTGTGACAAGTAGGCATATCTCATTAAAATAACATTCTGAATTGTATTACTATTTTGTACTTTCGTACCTTATATTAGATGCGCAACTAAGTTCTCGCTGTTTGTCAGTATATGGCTCTATCAGTAAGGGTTTGTCGATTTTGACAAATCCAAAACGTCTTGAAGCAAGCTTAGAGTAAGTAAACAAACTGCTGCGACACATAATTGATTTCGTTTTTGCATTATATACTTCTGGTTAAGTGAATATGTCCAATTTTATACCAAATAATCGTCATTTGCGGGGAGCGTTGATTTTCGTCTTCCATTCAAAAAAAAAACGGCAGCTCAAGTGCATCGAGAGCTACGGAAATGTTGCTCTGAGCGAAAACAACATGCCGTGAGAGGTTTTGTCGCTTCAAAAATGGTGATTTTGATGTTGACGACCACTCTCGTGAAGGAACGCTAAATTGAAGGTCTTGTTCGAAGAGGATTCGAGCCAAACTCAAGAAGGTTATGCTCTACATATGGTGGGACCAGGTCGGTGTTATTTGTCATGAGCTGTTGAAACCGAGCGAAACCATCACTGGAGAAATGTATCAAACTCAATTGATACAATTTTTTTATAATAAAGTTACATTTTCATCGAAAATACAGCAAGAACTTAGTTGCGCACCTAATATATCATATATATCATATCTTGAAAACTAAAGCTCATAGAAAAAAACCAATGTCATTTATGAAATCAGCGCCCCAAATATACTTAACAACAGTATTAAAATCGTTTGCACCATTTTCTTTGTTGACCTGTGTTATTTAAATGTTCATAAAATAAATCTATATCTTATATATAAAATTCTTCTGTAACAATGTAAGTTTCATTAATCCTCCTAAACTATAATTCGGATTTTCATGAATCTTCCTGAAGTTTGTTCGGGAAATTTTCTAGAATGTTTTGATTCATAGAAATATAGTTAGATTGTAGAAATAAATGGAAAAAAATACAAAAAACCGCTTATCATTGTTTGCCCTTGAAAATATTTGAAGCTTAGTTTGACATTAAAAACAATTGAAGACTGTCAAAAATTTGCCAAACATTTCTATTCACTTATAGGCTAAGGCAATATTAAAATATAATAAATTCATGATTATGAATAAGGAAAATGTAATGTCTACATTATTAATTAATAAAAAATTATTTAGAAGTTTCATTGTGTCAAAAATTCATATGTTTATCATTGGGTACGGAATATTTACTCAATGGAGCGCTTTCGGTCTGAATTTTTTTTACTGTTTTCCATTTCGTTTGGAATTTTGGAACTAGGTTCATCTTACTCTTCAGAAGTGAAAACAATTTAGACTCCTTTACCACTTCTCGGGTGGATGACATTTCTTTTTCAAAATAGCGTTGGGTATCGATAAAAGAACTAATTATAAAAGAAAAATGTTTAATAATGTTTTTCAGAAAAGCAAATACTTTTCAAGTTACTCGCTACTAAAAATTTGTTTCTTTTTTGCGTTTTTCATCATTTTTTGCTAATATCTTTAAAAATATACATTTTAACGAAAATCATGTAATGAACAAAATTATATCAATTAAAATCTTAATAAATCGCTATATTATAGTGTTTTAGGAACATTATTAGGCTAGATATGAAAATGGGTTTTTATAGTGCTCAAAATAAGCGTGTAAAATGAGTAGACTATCATGCAAATAAAAGACGCATATAATATTTTTTCATTTAAATCAAATAGTTTTTCAGTGCCATTTTCACCAAATTTCAAAATAATCGTATTCCATCTAGAACTAACTTGGTTTAAGAGATCTTGATGGATTCTAGAAAATACCACAACTTTAGTACAAACGATTTTCAAAAAACTCATGATTTCATGAAAAAAAACATTAAAAAATACATCCAATTTCTCATTATAATATCTCTGAAAAAATACGTATAAAAGTATATATATATGAAAATTCGTGGTATTTTTCTGACGAATTATTGTTGTTTATTATTTTTCCATTACACAAATATTGATAGAGGTATTAATTAAGGAGTGCGTGCCTGTCCAATCAGAGGTCTTTCGAGCCCTTTAACCCTTCGCCGTTTCACAATAAGAGAAGTTACTGTAAAATTTATGATAGAGAAAGTTGTAACTCATTTAATCACCTTTAAAATAGTGTATTACAAGTTCTGATAAAATCAGAATTAAAAGAGTAATAATCCAATTAATGCGGTGGATGGTGACGGAGTGCAAATTGATTTCACTTCTGAACTTAAGTTAAGGATTAGCCTATTTCAAAAATATCAAGTAAATTGGAGCACAGTATAAAAATTTACAGAGCAATAATTTTGTTGATCGTAAGTTGAATAGAGCACATGTGAACAAGATTTAACAAATTAATTCACTTCAAATATAAACTTAAGCAATAATGTATATTGATTTATTGGAGAAAAAAATGTAATTTAGATATTAAAATTACTAAAAGCTAGTTAAAATATGGTACGAAATTATAAAAATTATAGGCAACATTATTGAAGCAATTATTTTGGGTAGAAAAATAAAAGGTGATATCGCTTCTTTATATTAATTCTTTCTGAATTTGTTGTACTTTTTAAAAGATTTTAATTTTCAACACGTGTATCTTATGCTATGACCATAAATCACAAAGGCAGACGATCATTTTTAGTGTGATAAATTTGGAAAATCAATGTTTTAGCCGTGAATAAACAAAAAATCATTCATTTAAACATCCACATCTACATGTATGTCTGAAAATATTGTATAATCCTTAAATTCAATAAAATAAATTGAGCTATTGGAAATAAATTTGTTCTATAAATCGCAGTGTATAATTTTTAATATATAATTTTATTGAACATATTTTAATATTTGTTAAAGGGATAAATGAAGTGTTAACTGTGAGAATTGAGAATAATCATTTTATTTGAAACAGTACTACATTTAACATCACTCACATATTGGTGTAAATAGTAACTCGAAGAACAATAATGACACAGGTCAACAAAGAAAATGGTGCAAACGATTTTAATACTGTTTTTAAGTATATTTGGGGCGCTGATTTCAAAAATGACATTGGTTTTTTTCTATGAGCTTTAGTTTTGAAGATACAATATATATGATATATTTTACGATATTAGGTGCGCAACTAAGTTCTCGCTGTTTTTTTCGATGAAAATGTAACTTTATTATAAAAAAATGCATCAATTGAGTTCGATACAGTTCTCCAGTGATGGTTTCACTCGGTTTCAACAGCTCATAACAAATAACGCCGACCTGGTCCCACCATATGTAGAGCCATAACCTTCGAAGTGAATATTCGGCCGAACCGAGATTTTCTCGTCTTTGGATTGCTGTAATGTATTTATTTTTTATCACCTGTCACGATGTGATGAAGAACCTCTTTTTTTCTCGCCGCTGGAGCAGTTGTTTACAGGCAAAAAAACGACGCTCGACGTCTCTTGGCTTCAACTCACAAGGAACCGAAGTTTCTTGCTTCTAAATCATCCCCGACGCATACTATAGCTTGGAAATGGTTTGATGGGTAACTCCTAATTCTAAAGCAAGATCTTCTTGAGTTTGGCACGAATCCTCTTCGAACAAGGCCTTCAATTTAGCGTTTTTGAAGGTTTTGGCCTTCCTTCACGAGGGTGGTCGTCAACATCAAAATCACCATTTTTGAAGCGACAAAACCCCTCATGGCATGTTGTTTCGCTCAGAGCAACATTTCCGTAGCTCTCGATGCACTTTGCTGCCGTTTTTTTTTAAATGGAAGACGAAAATCAACACTCTCCGCAAATGACGATTGTTTGGCATAAAATTGGACATATTCACTTAACCAGAAGTATATAATGCAAAAACGAAATCAATTAGGTGTCGCAGCAGTTAGTTTACTTACTCTAAGCTTGCTTCAAGACGTTTTGGATTTGTCAAAATCGACCAACCCTTACTGATAAAGCCATATACTGACAAACAGCGAGAACTTAGTTGCGCACCTAATATAAGGAACGAAAGTACAAAATAGTAATACAATTCAGAATGTTGTTTCAATGAGATATGCCTACTTGTACATACAAACTTATAAGACCCATTCGGCCTTAGTTGGGACATTAGTTGACACTGTGAAACGTTCTTTTCCGTGACGACCTCGAATGGACCGGGTTTCGGCAACTTCTTCGTATCTCAAAAACTAGAGCTGATGCAAAAAAATGGTTTGCAGATTTGAAATCAGCGCAAAAAATACTATAAGAATCAGCTCTAACATTTGAGGCACCAAAAAAAAAACTTTTTTTTGTTGGCCTGTGTGATTATTTTTAACTGAACGGTATAAGTATTAGTATAGGATATTAAAAAAACGTTGAGGTGGGTACAGGACAACGTCTGTCGGGTCATCTAGTATATATATATGTATATATATATATATATATATATATATATAATGGGGCTGGTACTGCCCTAAGGCAGGTCCATGAACTGAATTAAACTCCAATTCAATTTAAGGAAGAATAGTGTGAGAGTTTTTCCATTACCATTTCACAACACAGTGCCCGAAATTTATTAGTAGTTTATTTTTTTATTTTATCAATTATATAGATATGTACTGCAGTATATATGTATATAGTATACATGTATAACAAAATATATTATTTAGGTATTCGGTATTCGGCCATAAAGTAACCAAATAATCATTGCAAGCCTAGGCATAAAAATTGAATAAACATGCAATGTGTTAGTAATATAACAACAGTGGATAGTGATAACTTTGAAACAAACGAGTTTAGGCTCTCAAAGCCAAGTTACCAAATATTCAGTGTTTGGTCAGGGAAATGTGTTAAATATTTGGTCTTCAATAGTGCGCTACTGTTTATTTAATTTACTATTCGTTGCAAGCCTAATTTAAAGCCATAATTACTGTTTGCTCATACCTTATACTGTCGCCAATGACAGTAATCTTCTAATATGTCTAACATTCTTGTCATTTGACTGAATATTAATACTCTTGAATCTTGTTCTTGAAGCCGAGGTAAGAGTTTGTCAAGCAAACTCATTTTACCACAATTATAAACCAAGTGTTCATCTGTTGTATAAGGGGGCCCTGGTTCAGCTCCATCAAACAAATAAGGATGATTTGTACATTTTCGCAATTGCATCAAAATATTTTGTAAGCGCATTTTTTCAATTTTTCCAGCACCATTAACTAGAATAATATAAATGGTTTATAAAATCCTATAAAATTAGTATAAAAAAACATGTAATAGACTTTGTAAATTATATAAAAGACTGAGTTATCGTATCATCTAGTCATAATTATCATAGTATATTATACTATACTTACAGTATAATGTGCAATTTAAAAATAGAAAAAATTAAAATGTACTGTTACTAGATGTATATAAATATATTAATAATATTTATATAAACTATTTTTATAGGAAATTCAGAAGTGAAAAAGAAATCACCTATATCTATATCCTTCATTAACACCTTGGTATACAACTCTCTTTGCATTTTAGAAAGGCCAATATAGACTTTAAGTTCTTTTTTGGGCTTTAATCGCTTTTCTACCTCGCTTTTCAAACGTCGAAGTAAGAATGGTTTAAGTACAGCATGTAATCTCTCAATTAATTGATTATCACCCAAAAACTGATTTGTATCAAACCAGGAATCAAAATCATCTGAACTGTTAAATACATCAGGCAAGAGAAAATTTAATAATGCCCACAATTCATGAAGATTATTTTGCAATGGTGTTCCAGTTAATAGTAGTCTATTAGTTGTTTTAAATTCTCTAAGAATCTCAGACAACTTTGATTTTTCATTTTTAATTCTATGAGCCTCATCAATGACCATATAACGCCATGTGAATTTTTTAAAAACTGATTTTTCTTTTATAACCATTTCATAAGAAGTTATGCACACATCCCATTCGCCAGGCATCATTACTTCTCGAATAAATGTGTTTCTTGTTTCCTGATCACCAATAAGGACCACAGCCCTGATTGACGGACACCATTTTTTAAATTCATTTGCCCAATTAGCAATTGTGGATTTAGGCACAATTACAATATGAGGACCTGAATTATTTCTATAGTGTTTCATATATCCAAGTAACGATATTGTTTGAAGAGTTTTTCCCAGACCCATTTCATCAGCAAGTATACCATTAATACCATTTTCATACAAAGATATCATCCAATTTAAGCCACGAATTTGATAGTCTCTAAGTTCACCATTTTTTATGTAATATGGAGAGCTTTCAAAGCGAGTTACTTGCTTCAGTTTAGCATTTGATTCTGCCAAAAGTTCTTCATCTTCTTCTTGCTCAGTTTTACGGTGGCGATGGCTGAATTGATTAAAAATATGTTGTTATTTTCATATATATATATATATATATATATATATATATATATATATATATATATATATGTTATATGTATATCCATTATGTTCAAGTTTGTTCTGGAAACAAACTAATGTAAAACAATGTTTATGCTAACATACATTATAAAGCTAGCAAGCAACAAAATTAACTAACAACCTGATAATAGTACTTAAAAATATACTTTTAAATGTATTGTCATACTCAATATTTTTATCATCTTTCTTCTCAAGTGGTGTTTTTCGAGGTCTTCCAGCTTTTATTTGAGCGGACTTGAAGGATTTTTGGGTCCAGTATTTGTCATAAAATGAGAAAAAATCTCAGTTTGTTGTAGCAGATAGTCAAATCTTTTACCTCTATCATTCTCAATCTTATTTTCAAAATCGGTTTCTTTTCCTCTTGATGAAATTGTATCTGAAGAAGATTCATTCTAAAAAGAATGCAAGATTTAGTTATTTGCATAATTTATTGTTTACGCGTCTTTCAATATATACCGAAACTGAATTTTCAGCTGTGTCACAAGGATCCATTTGTTCTTCTGGCTTCGACATATTCGCAAATACCGTAAAACGAATTCTATAAAAATCTCTTCAGTATTTAAAATCTTGATGTTGGACTTGCGGATAACATGCCTAGATAGTAGCACATAAAGATTTGTGGAAAATACAATATACAAATTATTTAAGTATATTTGTGATTCACAGTATTTAAAAAATAACAGAATTACTCCAGAACACTAAACTATTTTTTTTTACTTATGTTCTACGAAACAAAAGTGGATAAAAAAAAGACAATCCCGGTATCTTCTTGTCACCTCAGAATCGAAAACCGCGAAACCAAAATAGTGTTACCCGCTTGAAGAAAATAACAACACTTAAAACATAGATAAGAAGTAAAGCTAAACCATAGATAAAAGAAGAGTATACCCAATAGTTCTCAATTGTCAATCACTTACGATTGGCAGATAAATATTTTTTCGTAAAATTTGGTTGTATTGTCGCTATATCAATGAATGTTTTAAAAGATATTACATATGCCATATGAAACTTAACAAAATGTGATTCAAATAATAATAAGGATATTTTTATCTTCCCTATGCTACCAATGTAATTGAACCATGAACACAGGCCAATCACAATCACGACACAATTTTTTTTAATCCTATTTAATTTATATATTCCAGATGTCAATTACAATTCAAAATATTATTCTTGATGCCAAAAGGCTTGCAGGTAGATTGAAAACTAGAGAAGCTGCTGGAGATTCTTTGATAAAATAACACAATCTTTGAGCAAACAAATTGACATAATAAAACAAGTTAGTAATGGTTATTTTTTGTTTGAAAACTATATATAAATTCATATAAATATTATTTTTACTGATTTGATATTTAACAAAATAAGTATATTTTATGCTAGAATAAGGCCTAAATCAAATGACGTGCCCTTACAATCATAATATATATATATATATATATATATATATATAGATATAAAATTTTGGGATTTATGCATTTTTACTTAAGCTCTTAGCTAATATTACAACAGATATATATATATATATATATATATATATGTAATATATATATATATATATATATATATATACATTTAGTACCCAGATGAATTGGAATTACTAAATGAAGTAGCACCTCAAAGACCACACACTGCTCTAATTGCTGGTATACAGCAAGGAATCGATATATAAGAGAAATCCAACAAGAGAATCGAGAACTACGTGCTGCATTAGAAGACCATCAACATGCTTTGGAACATATCATGACTAAATATAGACAACACACTACTTATCAAATGAGAAAAACTAAAATTGATTTTTCTTTAGTACAAAATGAAGAGCAGGAACAGTTTGTTGTGTAATTATCATTTTATTACTATGGAAAATATTCTAATAATTTTGATATTTAATAGTTGTTTTAGTTTTACTTTTGAACATCCCTGCACTTTTGCTTTAATATATATTAGATTGAGGCAAACTTTTCAACCATGCTTCTATTCCTGTTTTAAATTTTCGTTGTTTTTATTTTACATCATAGTATCTTTTAGTAACATTGTAATAATTATTGTCTTTAATTTATTTATCATTTTACTAGTCGTTGGAAATAAAAGTTCATGATAGATTATTTATTAAAAGAAATTGCAAAAAATGGCATAAGACAAATTAATTCAATGTTACAAAGATCTGTGAAAATCACTTGTATATTTTATAAACCAATTAAATTATAAATCTAATATAGTATTATTTATGCAGCTTATAAAACAGCAGGCTAATAAGATTCAAGAGATGGTGTATATTATGCAAAAGGCTGCTAATATTGATGAGGAAGCTTCGAATCAAGATCAAGATCAACTTTGTCGTTTAACAACAGAAAATAAGGTATGTAATAATTTCAACATATTCAAAAATATTTAATTACTCAAACCTTTATTATAGGGACTTAGAGAGTTGTTGAAGATTGCAAAAAGCTATGGATCTGATGGCGAAAATATATTATCTATTACATGCAATGAAACAGAAGATAAAAAACATACAAACTGATTCCGTGAATAACTCCACTGACTAAGTTTGTAAGTATTTAAAACAATAGATAATTTATAAATAACTTATAATTGATGTAATTGTATGATTAATTATTACTAAAGTTTGTTACATTAGCATTCTGTTTTTATTGAAATAATATTGTATTTAAAAATAATAAAATAACAGTTTTTTTTATTTACTCTTAAGGTTTGATATGTATATACAGGAGCGGTCCAATGTAAACACATATTTATTAATAATTCGACTATAGTATGTTGTACTAAAAAATTTTTATTTTTTTGAAACAACTATTAAATATTTTCAATCATTAGAATTTTACATAGTAATAAAA